TCAGTTTCTCTCATCTTTCATCTTCTTTGCTTTTCAATTCTAAGAAAATATTTGATGGTTCACGGGTCTTCATGAACTAACTTACTTATGGCAACATGAGCAGCTGGTTCTCGTGGATAATTTTTAGCGTTTGTGTATATACATCCCATAGCGATACTACAATGTTGTATGTAAACCAAAATCAAGTTCTTGAGTTTAGGAAACAAAGAAAAACACAAAATTACTAAAGAATCTGATTGTTGCGAATAAAAAAATGAAAAAGTAGAGAATTTCAATTCACACACCTTTGAAGTCCGTTTATCTATAAGACCACGTTCATCGGTAAAATCTCTTTTCAGGATATCTACACAATTTAATATTAATATTTTTAATATAATAAAACTAATTAATTAGAAAAGAAAAAATGAACCACTTATAATTCTACACCTGGTATGAAAAGTTTTAATACCAACTCTAAAAAGTCTGGTTTGAGCCTCTCTCCTCTTTTCTATAATTTTTTCTATTTTTTTTTAATTTTAAGAGACCTTCCTAAAACTACCGATAGACATGGCCTAAAAACATTCTCAGCAGCTGTGTGATACTTTACTGCATACTTGGGTCCTACTGTATGAATAACCCTCCTGAAGAAGTAACCAAGAAACTTTTTTAGAGTTGGGATTAAGGCACAAATCTATTCCATAGTCAGAATTAAAGCCGCGCAGAATGTTTGGTATTTAGGAGAGATAACATGCCTCTCCAGCTTGATTTTGAAAATTTCTCAGAAATCACACAGCATGAAAAAAACTGTACAGGGTCATCAATGGAGAAGTTGTATCATACGGACAAATATAGTTGAAGGACAGAGCAGAGACTAAGTTGGAGCAAATTTTCTTTCTTTTTTAGTCCTCTAGGTAAATGGTGAACTTATCTTAAACCATTTTCTCAATCACCAATTACCTCGCTGGTAGATCATAGGCATTTATTACCTTTGCCATCCCTGTCCGGTATCCATCCTGTCAACAACGAAAGAATAAACGAAAAACCTCTTTCACGCAGCCATCTTAAAGACAATATGCAATACAATGCCTTTTTCACTAACACGTATACAACTATTCTCTATAAAATAGTGAAGGAAAGGTTTGTACCAATGTAGCACATTGTTCTGCTTGGCAAATTAAAGTATTTGTATACGAAAACGGTGCCAAAGACTTTGAATGTCTCTATCAAAAGCGTATTCACTGCAAATGAGAGAAGCAACAAATGAGAGAAGCAACAAGAAGGATCATTTACATGAACAAAAACTGAAATTCAGTTCGGAAATTCCAGCGCCCATGTAGACAATTATCATCAGACATTAATAAATCATTGAAATTAGACAACCAGATCCTACTAATTCATTCGAAAACCTAAAATTTCCAAATGAATTTTGGATTGTCGTTTACGCGAATATACCTTAAGATAAAACCCTCTCGATGATACAGAAGGTTCGATAATAAACCCAAAAAAACCCTCTCGACATCGGCGTGACCTCCGTGACCAATGGGCACGTGCCCTCTCGACGTCGTTCCTTTCCTCCGATCTCTTCTTCTTTTGCGATCCAAATACTCTCTGGATTTCAAATCAGAGTCCCATGGAGATAGAGACAGAGTGTGTGTGTGAGTTTGAGAGATCTTTCGCTTCTTTCTTTAGTGACAGAAACAAGAGAGAGTGAGATTTAAATGCTTGTCACAGTGAGCTAAGATTAATTTTAACGAACCGAAAAATAAGAAAAAAGCACAAACTCAGAACCACACACATATATTAAACTAAAGGACACATAAATTAAAAACCCTAATCTCAAACTCAAAACCACACACATAAATTAAACTAAAGCGTTGAC